TTTTTTATTTTTATGAAACTCACATGAAAGGTTTAATTTTTGTTTCCAAGGCTCACAAAAATGAAAACCTCTAAGGCCGCTTTCATAATATCTCTCAAGAAACAGTATCTCCATTAAGATTGTACATATAAAATGTAATTAGTATACTGAACATAGGATAGTGTGATCAATAGATTGATTTTCATTCAATACCACATCTTATTTTATTTTCTTTGAATAAATAGTCTCCAGTTTTAAATTTTAACATGTGTGGCAAGAAATTTAATTGTAAAAAGTTGGGTGTATCCACCAAGTGCTGTGTTTCTCTCAAGCAATGACCAAATCGCTTGCTATCTCAGATTTTTCACCATTGGTGAAATATTAGCAACAGTAAAGCTGGTGCACCGAAAATAAATGAAAATATTACTTGGCATTCGTTCAGTTTGCAAATTGGTTTCTCTTTTAAACCAGCATGAAACTAATAAAAAATACTCTTATCAAAGCTTAAATAATGAAAACTGTGTGTAATTATTAAATCACAAAAGTTTAAAATATCTATCTTCCTTTAATTTAAGAATATTTTCTCAATTTTTCAGAAAGTTGTATTCTATTTTACAAGCTGTTGTATATGCAAAATTAATGGAGAAAAAACACTGCTTTGATACATTTCAAAGTCAAAGGAAAAATATTTCATGATTATTTTTATGGTACAACTGACTGGTGGTCTGACATCTCCATATCATTGATATAATCATCTTCAAAGTACAAATACAACGATTGGTCAGTTTCTTCATGTATGTTGAACCAATCAAAAATGATGTAAGAAAAATCTTATTTCAGGTGATGATGCATGATTGACGGAAGAAACGTTGGATGTTAATTACGAAAAGGACTAGTGTTCAAGTTTGTTCAGCTAATGAAACACTTCAAGCATTGATCAATAAAAAAGCCAATTGCATCCCGGCTAGATCTTGAGTTTACAATTTTATCATTGATTACTTCAAAAAATACATGACAATCACATGGTATACACCAAAGATATTGAGATTCTAAGAGTTGCATTCATTCTATAGGACGTTTCATTTACCAGGTAAGTGTTACCACAAAACCTCAACCAAAAACACAATTTAAATTATCCGTATTCAATTTTTTAAAAACATTTTCATTTAATCAATTCCAACTCAAAAATAATTTTTCCTTCATTTTTCTTCATTACACCAAATTTTTCAGGTGTGGGAAAATGAAAAAGCTGTAGCTGGATTTGTACAGATCTGTACATTCAAACTGAAGATAAACACTTACACAGGCATATGCTTTAAATGGCAGGTCATTGCACAGTTAAAAGATGGGGAAATTAATCCTTTGATATTGACGGCACATCCAAATTTTTTTTGGAGAGAACAAACTGACAAGCCGACATGTCTTTAGCTGGATACCAATTGTAGCTAATGTCAAAATGTTCCTTTAAAAGACTGTGATTCAAACCAAGATCCTCCAAACACAACGCAAATAACCTCTCCCCTAGTTAGTTGCCAATGATGCCAGAAAGAAAGTAAGGCAATTCAGTCAATAAAACTTGGTGTTTTGTAAATAGTTTATACTAAGGATTTATACAGAGAAGCCAGCTTGTGTTCATTTGTGTATTCTACCAGTAGTATTTACTATGTACATGATTTTGTTGTTATCATATTACTATACCAAGCAGTTAGTGGTTTGTACCTGTGTGGTGAGATCTGATAAGTTGTGTATTGTGTAATAGTTCTATAACATATGAAACAGTTTTATAACGTGTGGAATAGATCTATGTGTAATTGTTCTATAACTTGTGGAATAGATCTATGTGTAATGGTTCTGTAACATGCGGAATAGATCTATATGTAACAGTTCTATATGTAATACTTCTGACATGTAGAATAGATATGTAATGCTTCTATATCATGTGGAATAGATATATGTGTAATTGTTCTGTAACATGTGGAATAGATCTATGTGTAATGCTTCTATAACATGTGGAATAGATATATGTGTAATGCTTCTATAACATGTGGAATAGATATATGTGTAATGCTTCTATAACATGTGGAATAGATATATGTGTAATTATTCTATAACATGTGGAATAGATATATGTGTAATTGTTCTATAACATGTGGAATAGATCTATGTGTAATGCTTCTATAACATGTGGAATAGATCTATGTGTAATGCTTCTATAACATGTGGAATAGATCTATGTGTAATTGTTCTATAACATGTGGAATAGATATATGTGTAATGGTTCTATAACATGTGGAATAGATATATGTGTAATGCTTCTATAACGTGTGGAATAGATCTATGTGTAATTGTTCTATAACGTGTGGAATAGATCTATGTGTAATAGTTCTATAACATGTGGAATAGATCTATGTGTATTAGTTCTGTAACATGTGTATTAACAGCGACATGTGCATGCGAGTATGCATGTAAGCTTTTAGTCCTTCTTGTAAATGTATAATATTGTTTTTTCTGTTTTCATTGTTTATTGTTGTTTCTGTCAATAATTTATCATTCTTATCACAGTTAACTGAATAGTAAAACTGTAGAAACAGGTTTGACAACTAGAACTTTTTACCTTGTTTTATAAACATAAAATATATATAGTTGTGCGTTCCACACCAACATTTTAATTTACTTGCTCTGGTTTTTTTTCTTTTGAACCTTGGTAAGCTTTACAATTATGATATATTTCTAAGGAGGTCACAATATTGTTCAGGAGCTGGATCCAGGGCTCCCCATCCCTGGTAACTGCTACCAACTACTTATTTAAAAAGCATAAAGTCTGTTAGTACAAAGTGTGTATCCATATATCTATATATGTACTAGGGGAATAAAACATTTATATATTTGAACAATACATATTTATATATACAGCAAGCAACAGAGACAGAGAGACAGAGAGAGAGAGAGACAGAGAGAGAGAGAGAGAGAGAGAGAGAGAGAGAGAGAGAGAGAGAGAGAGAGAGAGAGAGAGAGAGAGAGACACAGAGAGAGAGAGAGAGAGAGAGAGACAGAGAGAGAGAGAGAGAGAGAGAGAGAGAGAGAGACAGAGAGAGAGAGAGAGAGAGAGAGAGAGAGAGAGAGAGAGAGAGAGAGAGAGAGATAGAGAGAGAGAGAGAGAGACAGAGAGAGAGAGAGAGAGAGAGAGAGAGAGAGACAGAGAGAGAGAGAGAGAGAGAGAGAGAGACAGAGAGACAGAGAGAGACAGAGACAGAGACAGAGAATGAAAACTGTAAAAAATCTTTAGACAAGCTAACTTAAAACAGGAGATCCAACAGGAATATTGGGACCGGCCATCATTTGAAATCTTTTTGTTCTTTAAAAGTTGGATCTTGTCCCTTCTTTTCTATTATGTTCGTTGATTTTGCTCTTAATCATAGGAAGTTTTGAAAATTCCTCTGAAGAATTAGTGAATAATGTTAAAGGGCTAAATCAAAGATGGTCACTTGTCGGCCATCTTCTTTTCCTGATCAGTCCCAAAATCTGATAGGTACAACTAGAGACAAAGGGGAACCTCCATGGGGAATTTCAGTATATTCTATCCAGAACTTCTCAAGAAAAAGTGAAAACAAACTTCTAGAGTGAAAATCCAAGATGCCCACCTGTCAGCCATTTTGTTTTTCTGATCACTCCAAAAATCACATGGGCACATCTAGGGACCATGGGGAACCTATGATTTAATTTTGAGAATGATTCATTCAATACCTCTCAGGAAATAGAGATATCAGACTTTAACTGCCTAATTGAAGAAGGTTGCCTGTCAGCCATTTTGTTTTTCTGATCAGTCTCAAAATTAAATGGGCCCAACTAAAGACCAAGGAGAACCTACATATTAAATATGAGAAAGATCCATCAATACTTCTTAAGAAATTTAAGAAATAGTGATAAAAAAATGTTCATTGTCAAAATCAAAGACGGTTGCCTTTCAGCCATTTTAATTTTCTGATCAATTCTAAATTGAAGTGAGTATGACAAGTGACCAAGGAGAACCCATACACAGAATTTAAAAAAGACCCATCAAGTTCTTCTTAAGCAAGAGCGACAACAAACTTTCATTGGCAAAATCCAAGATGGCCACCTGTCTGGGGTTTTTTTATGTAGTCGGTCCCAAAATCAAAGGGCACAACTAGGAACTATGACACACCTACAAATGAAATTTGAGAAAGATCCCTCCATCACTTCTGAAGAAATAGTGACAACAAGCATTGTTTATGAACAGACCACAGAAAAGAGATATAGGACAATTTAAAAAGTCCATCATCTGATCACGTTGGGCTAAAAATAAATCGTTGTTCTGATTAGCAGAAACACAGATTGGGTTTCTTTTAGACCTTGTAAGTGTTCAAAATAATGAGTTTTCTATTAGTATCCCTGCCTGTTAATTTACAGGCGATAAATTCTGTGATCTCGAGGAGGATTTTTTTTTTTATTTTACTGTTACATCACAATCATAATTATCATAATATATAATAAATAGTAAATACATGCCACAATTGATTTGGTTTCATAACCAAAAGATAAAAACAGAAACCATGAACCCATTACATTAATTGAATGGAGAGTGTATTCCCTTGCTATGTAATATGAAACTCTCGCATTACTCAATATTCTTTTGTTTTTTGTTTTTGTGATTATCATAATTACAGCCCTGGTAACTACAAAATGTAAACAGAATGCAGATGAAAGTATTCTTTTCTCCTACCCTATAAGTACCACTCATATTTTTTGATGATTTGGTGACTAAGTCCAGAATACATAGACCTGGTACCCCAGTCAGGAGCATCGTTAATAAAATCTAATAGTATTGCATGATTATATATCAGGTGATGAAAAAAAAAGAAAATCATTAGTTATCAAAGCTCCTGTAATATCTTCATTAAATAATCAGGCAACATGCCAGTCTGCCCTGTCTGCGCGTGTTGACAGCACGTGTCAGAATCAGTTCTCATCAACATAAAACATCATGCTTGACGAACACCTACCTGGTTCCTTGTTTCTGCCTCAACGACTCTTCTTGACAGTCATTCGGGGTTTCTCCTGAACTGGCCATTAGGGGATCGAACGTATTGCACGAGCTACGGGTTTCTCCCGTCGGGTGTGGGGGTGTTGGATTGTGAGAGGAGAGTCAACTGTCAATATTCACTAACATTAAACGATTACAAGCCCGCCGTCATACATTCTCATTCGTTTTCGTTCGCATAATGTGTACACCTCTAATGTAAACAAATACGTGTTCCTGATATGGCGGACGATGCTTATACGATGCACGGTTGGCCGTAGATCCGAGTGTCGGAGAGAACGACCTGTTGTGAGTAACACAACATGGAAGAGCTAGAGAGAGATGTGATGGTATATTATGATGATGGCGGACGAAGGCCTCGATCTGCTCGGTAGCTCACTCTCCCTGTGATGGCGTCCTTCAGAGGTTGTTGCTAATGTACGAATACCTATAATCCCAGGCGGAGATTCGTTCTACAGATTCCAAACTACCCGAACTTTTCTTATCATTTATCACAGATTTGTACACACTATATTATTTCTGTATCCATACCATGTCATTTAGCGGATAGATCACGTGACCTTTCCTAGGATTAATTTCCTATATGACGTCACAAACGGAATTCCCTTTAGAGCACCTGTTGCGACATCAAAAGAGGGACTTTCCCACAATCTGGTAGTGCTAATAATACACCGCTCGTGGGGGAAACGTGCTTGTGATGTAACCATACCGCTATTAACAAGCGGGACTTTCGTAAATTGACACAGGAGTATTCGACACGAGCAAGCTGTTACAGACGCGTATCTAGATCTAACTAGGTCAGTGTGTACAATCAACTCTCTTGTGTGCGCGAGTAACGATTTCGTTAACTTGTCTATCTCCATATCAAAGAAAATATTGTCCCAAACTCCGATAATCTTTACTGTACAGTAAGCCTGTGCAACATACAAGATGCAAATTTATTATAGACTGGCTATTTTACGTGTCAAATGACTCGAGTCATGTTAAAGAAGACACAATATGAGCTTTAATACATGGCAAAATAAACCCAGACAGAGACATATATACGTCTCTGCCCCAGGTTCATTATTTATTTGTCGAGTTTTGCCCCTTTAACAGTCCATGTTAGTTTGAGGTGGGATGTCTTAATCAACATGGGGAAGACCTGTCCCCTGCCACCCGCGGAACTATCAGATTGAATTAAAGGCATTCGTCAAGAGACACAAACAGGACAGCACAGACCTGTCTGTTTTCCTGTTTCCTGTCCCCTACAAAACCTAGTCCTTGAAAGGTGTATGTTTTAATCGACATCACTTTATGTCAAGCGTGTTTACTACCGCGATCGATAAACATATAGAGATAAACTTGTGTCTTTTGATACTTTGTTGCACGAAACTGTGAACTATTTGTCAAAAATCAGATAAATGCCTACACAAACGGCATGTAAATATTTTTACTCTTGGGTCCTGTGTTATGTCTAGTAAATAAAATGTCGCCCTCGTGTTAATCTTTTTTAAAGTTTGCGTTAAAACAGATTCGACACTTTCATGAAACGATTGAAGTCATTGTAAATATAAACTGCACACTAGATTAAAGTATTAAATCACTATAATGCTACGAAATTCAGTTTAAAAACATCATTTTGATTTCTTTACACGTCACTCTATATTACAACATTACAGCAGATTGATCGATCAATCGATTGAATGATCGATCGATCGATTGATTGATCGTACATTTAATTAAATTTATATCATTAGAATGAGTTAGACTTCACACGTACAAGCAGCCACAAAGCGTGACATTATCAACAGCGCCCGGCTGTTGCCGTAGTATAAACATCCGAACAGGTCTAGATCATATAAATATCCTTTTTAAAGCAAAGTAAAATTTTTGTGTAGGTTCTCTGTGTCTTTCCTGTTTGACGTTAAACGATCAGCTGAGCAGTTTTCTGGTGTAGCACGAGGGAACATCTCACGAGCCAGTAATTTTGTTTCCCTGACAACAGAGGAATTTGCAAACATGAAACCTCGCTGATACTAAAAGGCCAACGAGGACACAAGGCTGATGTGTATACAACATTGCATATATAGATATCTGAGTGGGTTTTTGTTCATATGTAACCCGGAAAAGCTTTACAGGCCAACTAGGCTGTTATGCGAGTATGTCAAAATTAGTTTAACCTTTTTTCAGCTTATACCGGAAAAGCAACACGGAACCCAGTTTGATTAGTTTAAACATATTTTATTCAACAAAGTCGTAAATGGATTGGGCACAAGTTATTTCAACTTATAAAACGCCTTCTCCAAAATACAAACAAATAAATACAATGTACATAATACAATTACGTGTTTCAAATCAACAACAAATGACTATTTATAGAAAGAGAGTAGGGAAGTAAGGGAGAGAGAGAAGGAAAGGGGATGAAGAGAGGGAGGGGTTAAGGAGATAAATCAGTTACATCGGATTTAAATATTGAAAATGGCATGAAACGTTATACTCAAAACCTGCTACTGGACTTTAAAACGTGCTGAACACGTAAGAAAATTTCACAGTTTGTATCATGCGACAAATCTTGGTTACCAAATAAAGCAAATCTAAATCCCAAGGAACCTGCAAATCTAAGTCGTTTGGATTCTGAAAGAGAATATTTTTTTCAGTATCAAAAAGACCACATACAAAGAAAAATTGATAGGCATTCTCACAAATATGTCCACATGTGCAGCTAGGGGTTTCCACAAGGCTCAAAGGGAATAAGTCGTAATTTAAAGAACTACACTGGTGTCTAAGCTTCGTGTGATCCATAATATCAAGTTTGCTGTCGCCAATGCCAATGTGAGTTTGATACCTCTACATCCCAGCTATAAACATCCTGGTTACACGTAAAAGTGAAGATAATGTTCATGTAGATTTATAAAAGCTTATTATAGACGTGATCTGCGAAAACGTTTCTCATCGGCAAACATGGCGAGATAAAAACGACCACTTACAAATTCCATGTCTTAATTCTCAAAAGTCCTAATTTACCTTTGCATCTCAAAAAGAACAAAAAAAGGACCTGATCATCAGAGGTGAAAAGTCATTTAAAGAAAGACGAGAATAAGAGTACAGGATAAAACGCCCCGAATCCGACTCTTGCAACTACCTACAAATTTCAAATTCGTAAGAATGGACCTGAAGGGTTTATTAATAAGCAACACAGTCCCTTTAGTTCTTTGTAATCTAGAATTTGAAATAGTGACCGTAATATATATTTTATATATATTTGAAGACAATAAGCTCTACAGCTCTTGGTGAAAAACACTAAAAAGAGAATTTGAAGGATATCATAGGTAGACCACCGATCTCCAGTCGCGTACCTGCTTTTGCGCAAATACACTGCTGCACACATAATGCAGTTTTATAAATCAGATTATAGGCAACACCATTCTGTTTTCTTCCCAGCTTTTTGGAGGGCTTTGTCCGTGGTCCCTGCACTCCCGATGTGATAGGCTACATACCTGGCCTCAGACGAAGGCCAAATATCTGTCACTCTCCATCAGAATCGGAGTTTGAAACTAAAACTTACTAAATCAATAATGGGGGAAAGGGGGTGTTATTATTTAGTTCAGCAATGAAAAAAGTATGCTCCTTTTAACCCGAAATCCTGGATCCGTTGCTGCGTACGGCCTTGGAAAGATCACAAAACCTCCTAAGAAATCAAGAAAACATTGATGAAGCAGTTGTAGACATGTTAGGCAAATCAAAACTGAAGCCGAGAAATTCTTACTTCAGAAAATAAGACAACGGAGAAGATAAGAATTGTTCTGGTTGGTAAAATTGTAGATTGATGATTTTGCTGAGAAAAATTCCCACGAGCGTCGATAAAATATAGTATTTATTAAGCGATTTCATTAGTTTCTTTCGGCTCGTGACATATCAAGTCATTTAACGGATTTAACAAATTAATATTTTTTATGTCGGCAAGAACGTAAGAATATATTCGTCATTCAGACCTTCTTTCTGAATTACAAGCAAAAGTTATGAAATTATTGCTTTGGTTATGGTAAGACCGATCTAGATCGACACGGACGGTGAGTTTTGCACCACCGAAATAATCATGTGACGTCATCATGACGTGTTTAGTTCTGACTTCATCAGACTATTATTAGGCACGTATCTTGAGATTATTTCATGACACGGTCTCATCACGTGATACAACAGACCCGTTATGTGATAAAGACAAGATGCTGGTATTTTGTCGCAGAAGAAATGAGTCGCAGGACTAGACTGGATACTAAAATCTATACGAAGATTGTACAAAAGACGCACAATGATTTAGCATTAGACACAGCAGAGTCAATTATCGAATTAAGCTTCAACATACAGCTGTTTCGTCCTTTTGGGACTCGTCAGTGATGCTAAGGGCCGAAATTATGACGTCTAGGGGCGAGTGACGCAAATCGAAATTGTTCGGAACAAATGCCAAAAACAAGTTTGGGAAGTATACTACCAACATAATTAAATAATTTTCATATTATGCCCCGGACCGAAAGATCAGGAACATATTGTTTTTATGATGTCTGTTTGTCTAATGTCAAATTTAACTATTGCACCTTAAGAGGTAAGGCTTTCATATTTGGCATGTGAGCTCCCAGTGACATTTATTTATCAATTTATTTATTTATTTATTTATTTGTTAAGCTATCTATTTGTCTGTGTTAATATGCAGTTTCATATATCTCTCTAAATATATACCGAAGGACGAAAAGATTTTTCATTGTAGTTGCCAAAAGTACGCGCCAAGCTAATATGATTTTAATCGTCCCTCGGGACTGCTATCAAAATAGTAGTTTTGGGCGTTAGAAAACCAAGGTGCAAAGGTCACACACAATATATTATGGAATTAACTAATTATGCAGCAAAAGATCACATAACAGGAATGATTGTATGAATTAGAATAGGGCTTTGTCCTAAAAAATAACATGTTACACCGGTAGAAGTCACCCTCTTTATTTCACAGACGAATATGACGTGGAAGGTGTACACTGAAATTTATCAGGATCTTACCGCGAGTATATAGACAGACTACATTGGTGTTTCTCCAGTATATGTCGTATTGAGTCAAGATTTTTTTCTTTTCTTTTCAAAGTCTGTGTGATCAACAATTAATGATAGGAACGATCCCGCTTGAATTAAGCAGTTTTATTGGCTAATAACTCTCCGCGGGTTTCGTGATGACATTCAATATTAATGACGTCATCGTTTGTAATGTCGTGATAATCTCCGATTGGCCAGAAAACATGCATAAAGATTTCGGCAACAAAAGAACATTATTCGAGTGTCTTTTGAAAACAGCTAATCATTTTGTTAATTTGAATGTTTATTTCACGGACTTGGAGCCATGATGTTAAAAAATGATAAATTTATCACTAGTTAAAACTGCATTACCTCCCTTAGTTTGCATTTCTTTTTCAGTAAATGGTTTCATAGTATGTACTTCAATGTTGGAAGTATCCTTAAGATATTTTTTTCCATTTTTTTGCCCTCAGTTTATCTATATTTGTTTGTAATTTTAGGATTTGTTAAA